GTATAAAGTCTAAGTGCTATTGCCTTTGAATCATGAAGAAAAGTTATGTCTCTCCTGAATTAGGTACTATATTTCCTACCTTTTAATTTTTCTATTATTTATTTTAGATCACTTGGTTTTGTGCATAGATAAGGAACCACAACCTAGATCCGTGGTGGCGAACCTATGGCACACGTGCCACAGGTGGCACCCAGAGCCCTCTCTGTGGGCACACGTGCTATCGCCCCAGTCCTAGGCCTTCAGCTGGGTTTTATAAAACCTTTTCGTTTTAGGCCTCCGCTGCCATGTGCAAAAAAAAAAAAGTTCAATCAATCAATCAATTTCAACTTCTCGCAGGAAAAAAAAAGATCTCGCAGAGTTGGAATTGATTGATTGAACTTTTTAGTCCCACCCAGTCTATCGTTACCACTGCAGCTACGCCCACCTGGCCACGCCCACCTGGCACCCAATGATACATAAGTGGGTTTTGGGTTGCAATTTGGGCACTCGGTCTCTAAAAGATTTGCCATCACTGACCTAGGTTATCCCTAACCTTCATACCATTTTGATAATTGTAAATATTTTCATAGTGTGCATAATATTTGCTTTAGGTTTTGTTGAAAAATGCCAGTGCTTTTTTTCTAAAAAAAAAAAAAAGGTGCCGGAACTCATACGCATCATACAACCCGCCTTGCCTACCCTACAAGGTTCCATCCCAAAAAGGTGCCGGAACTCTGTTCTGGGCGTTCTATGAGGAAAAAAAGCCCTGAAAAATGCTATCACTAAATGCCACTCCAAAGTTTCATTTTTATCCAAATGTAGCCTAATCTTATACAACATTATTCAGACCAGAAGTTGCACATGACCTTCAAGTGACCTGCTGGGGGCTATGTGCCAATTCACATTTCTGATATTCAAAACAGAATCTGAGCCAGCAGTGGGAAGAAGAACAAAAGTGGACTCTTCTTTTTCCCATCATAGGATGCCAAATCCATTTTTCTCCAACTTGTTCCTTTTCCTAGCCCTCCTACCTGCTTGGCTCCCCCACCTGGTCAAAACCTCGCTTCCTATCTACCACCTGACGATGCAGAGCAACAAGCAGCCCTCCTTTTGGCTTGTTCTGGGGATACCTCACCAGCAACTCTGTCCCCAGTGAACATGTATGATCTCTTTGAGGCACTACAGGTAACTTTCACGGATTACGTATTTTAATTTCAGTTGCTACTCTCCTGATGGAGATGTTCAACTAAGAAGTTACTACCAAATAATGGGGGTATAGGAAAGAATATCCAGAAAGAAAATAAATAGCTTGCTTTCTATTTGTTCTTAAATGTGTATGCTGCCACATTTTTAGATTCATGGTGTCTTACAAGAACATAGTGAATTGTCTAGAAGTAACATAACTTTAATCTCAATAAGAACATAATTCAATTCAAATTTGTAAATCACATTTTCAAAACAGTTATAACAAATTAATAAACAATATTCCGGATACCTCTGATATTCTTCACTTAGCTAGTTTTTTTATATAAATTTCAGGTTTTACTGGAAAGAGAGAAATTTTCAAACCTAGTTATACTGATATTCATATTGTATAATGTCTGCATGATATTTGTAATGTATTACAATTCAATCCAAATTATGAACTGTAAAGAAATGTGTATACATTTCTTGAAAAATTAAGTCATGTTATGCAAAGCATCTACCATACAAAATATGTATCTATACCAGTGAACTCCATTTGTATCCACAGATGCAAGTATAAAACATTCTGGAAAGACTGGTGTAATACTCTATATTGTTTGGCCCAATAAAGTAAATGTGATTATTTGAGGCTAATATGGAAAATTCTAGCTCTGATCTCCCCCTGTAACATTGCCTATCAATTATACAATTACTCCACTGCAGCTCCTGATGTTTGTTTTGTATGCTCTAAATCATTTCCCTTCTTTTTCCTCTGGGCAGTTAACCAATGTCTCACTGAGATCAGGTGAGCCTGAGGAAGCAAGTGAGAAAGGTTCATTGATTTGCTTGAAATGCTTCTGTGTTAATAATATTAGATATCCAAAATGCTCATCTGTTCCCCCCCATCTGTTTATTGCAAGGTTATATGCTGTATTCTATGAACATACAATCACTAGTTTCAGTTTGTGAATGTGGACATTTAAGATAATAATTTGTGGCCAGTAAGATTTTCACTTGTGTACTTGCAGATCCACCGGGAAGTGGTCCCTGCCCATACTGTTTATGCCCTCAACATTGAAAGGATCATCCTGAAACTCTGGCATCCAAACCACGAGGAACTTCAGCAAGACAAAATCCATCGGCAGATGTTGGCTGCAAAGGAAGGCCTCCTAATGTGCTAAGACTGTTTCCAGTGCTGACTTTGGTCTGGCATTTTGACTTTAGAATCTCAACATTTGTGTTATTTTATGAACGCTTCCAGGCAGAAGCGTGAACATGTTTCCCATGGAAATATGACTCAAACTGAAGAGCATTTAAGGGTAAAACAAAGCCTTGACTGCTTAGAAGATTGACTACTTTGCTGATAACTTTCAACAAACTGAATATCATTAATTCTGAAAATCTTTCTGTTCCATTGGAAAATGGATGTTGCAGCAAAAACTACATTTTTGTTTTTATTCTGTCCTTAATATATAAGATGATGCTCTGTCAATATCTGCAGGACAAAGATAAAGTTCCTACAGTTGCCAGATACGTAGGTCATCTAAGCTACTGCTTTGGGTTGTTTTTACAAACATATACATTGTAAATATACTGAACAAAACGTTATTTTGTTGGTAATTGTATAATTTGGATTTATTACATATCGGAGAAGTCCTGATTCATTAAAATAAACTTTGTTGCAAGACAATTTTCAATTATAAAAATAATTTGTTTTTGTTTTTTTTTACAAAAACAGCAATATTTAAATCTGTGAAAAGAGCTTAAAATATATAATTATCTTTTTAAGTATATTTTGCCTCTCTGGAAGTCAAAAATAACCAAGTTGTTTGCTTAGTTATCCTTCAACAGAATTCGTAACTCCTTAAAAGTGAATCTCCTTCACCCTACATACTGTTTCACAGCAGAAATACAGAATAGAGATTTTTTTTAATTTGTGATTCAGCAGTATTTTGCAATATATCTAAATGAGGTAAAGACTTGCCAAACGGAATGGTGAAAAGTTCCTTAGCCACAAATGATAGCTTCACAAAACCCAGAACTAGTTGGGGTTGTACCGTAGGAAGCATGTTTTTTGTTCTGCAGATCTGTCTAGAGGGTGCCTGAATCTCCAGTGCAAAGAAAAATTTCCACTTATTTCTTACAAATAAATAATAGAAATAAATCAAAAACTGTTTGATTTTACAAATCTCTGGCACAGTGAAGATCGCAGCAGAAGAACATTCATCTTGAATCTGTTGGTCATTTTCTTCAGTGAAAGTGAGAAGGGGGGGGGTTACATGGGGAGGAATTATTGCCAAACAGAATAATTTGAATGTGTTCTGTACTAAAGGGACTTAGAAGAAATACAGGGAAGGTGATTTGCTGTCAATTCTAAAGGAAGAGAGTGTAAACATACCCAATAAATGAACTTAATGGCTGATTCATTCCTGTAAGCATGATTCTTCATTACTCAGATGCTTAAAAGAACTCGCAGCACAGACTGTTCATCAAACCTCTCTTCAATAAGTGAAGTGGAAGTATTCCATTTCAGGAGCAAAAGATCAGATTGCTCATAACATACATTCTTCAGAACTGTGGTAAACAAGTTCATTTCCAAACAGTCGCTGTTGATGTCAGTGGAAATGTGTCCTGAGGCCTTAACTGCCCAGTCCTGTGTATGTTTACTTAGAAATAAAGTTTCATCTTTCTCAGCATGTTTTAATCCAAAGTATACATTTACAATTGAAAAAGGATTTGAAGTGGGCAGTTTGTGTCTTGTCTTAAGTCCATTTGCCCTGATAAAATCCATGGCTAATAAAATCAGTTACAAATGTGGAAGTGCCCAGTTCAAATCCCACTTATTAGCTATTAAATATCACAGTGACTTTAAGCCTTTGATCTTCCATATGCTACCTGAAGATAAATAATTATGAACTTTTAAATCATTACATCCACTGGGGGAAGGTTGAGCTGTCAGTCATAACAAAATGGCTATATTTCTACACAGAAGCAGATGTGCTAACACTTTCGACATGATAACATCAATGAAATAAATAGGATGTCCACAAGGTTTGGTAAAAAAAGTCAAGATAGTGAGAATGACTGCAATCAAAGCTCCATTTTTTTATAACGTGTGTAAAAGACAATGTCTCATCTTTTTTTACTGTATCCTGCGGACACCTCTGCAGCTAGTCGTTACATATCTGCAACAATGCCCTTTTGCAATACTTTTCATTTGCTAGAGAAGGACAGAAGCAATAGGAAGCTAAAATGTAGCTTGAGCTTTCTTTTGTATTCCTTGGAAAAATAAAACATGGAATTTCATCTTTCATCCCTAATTTTTCTAGTCCTAAAACCTGACAGTTATTTTAATAGATATTTAATATAGATACCTATATATGAAAAGGACTTGAGTTTTCTTCTCTAGGTGCACCCAAGCAAATACCACACTGCCCCGAGTTAGTTCTATTATCACCACAATTTCACAGTTAGAAATGTTCATTTAGAATGTCCATGACTATGATCACAATTAGTCCCTTGGGGGCTAATTCCATTTACTCCATTTATTTTGTTCCACAAATAGAAGAAAACAATTTGCCCGTAATTTGACAGGATGAAAGATGGGGCAAGTCCACTTTAAGTGATTCTGAGTGAACAGTAATTAATTTGTGAAACACAAAAAGAGGGAAAGGAAAAGTCCCATCTCTCTGCCTGGTGATTGATCTGTGACTCTTTCTCATTCATCTCTGCTCCTCTGCTCAAAAACACTAGACTGAATGTGATTGGCCAAAGGGGCTGGCTGGGATTCAAGACAGCCGCTTTATATCTTCCTGAAAAAGATAGGCTGTGTTATAGACAGCGAGCGCTTCTGCCTTCTCACACACCATCTGGTTGTCTTCAAGGATACAATAACCACACGGCAAGATGTGCAAAGGATTAGCAGCCTTGCCCCACACATGTCTGGAGAGGTGAGAGAACAAATTTATGCCTATCAATGAGGAAAGTGATGAGGGTGATGGAGATAGCGGAGACCCTGCAGCTATCTGGCAGAATAAAAGATTAGCCCATCTCTGTGCAGAAGAGATGCCTGCTTAAAGAAATGTTGGGAAGTTCGATTCTCATTTAGTTTTGGAGGAATTAAGCAAGTGAACTGACCAAACTAATGGCCTTTATTTCTCATTGGGCTTGAGATGAGAAAGGTAAATTACATTTGGATGCATAACCCTAAAAAAAAGGTGTTAAGAAATGGTTAAAGATTGAGGACCCAAATCACTCAAAATCCTGTTAAATCTACTGTAGGTAGGGGGGGATGATGCAATGCAGAGCATGGGTTATTAATATGAATTTCCCATCCAAACTAGCATAATTAAAAGCTTTTTTTCTTGTAAAAGAGCTTTTGAAAGGGAAAATTGTGACTAAGGGAAAGATTGATTTTCAGTTAAAGATATGATGCATTTTAAAACTCTTATCTCACACACAGAAACACTATTTCACAAGTATATGATGACAGATAATCTTACATGAACTGTTCTTGTCATATTTTGTTTGGCTTTTTCTCTTGCTTTTAATTACTTTCCTCCCAGCTTCATGCTAAAACCCAAGATATAAGCAGAACGCTACTGAGATAAATATCTTATGATAATTAAATCATCATCACCATACCATTGCTCAAAAGGTTTTCAGAGATCTTTCTCTTAAGTTTCCATCCATCATTGAATACAAGGAAAAAAGAAGATAATTTTTTGAGCTTTCATTCACTCGCCCATTTATCCACTCATTTACTCATTCATATAAACAGTCTGTAAACCCTGACACACACTTGTAGCCATTATAAAGAAGAATAAAATTAAAATTAAATTTAAAATACAGGTGAGGACATTGTCTTCAAGTGTTGATAGTTTATTTGTTAACTATCATAAAATAGCAGAATTCTATCATAGTATTGGGAGTAACCTATTTTGGGGGGAAACATTCCAGCTTATGATTTTAAAAGATATAACCCTTATCCATTGATAATGAGTTTACTCATTATCACTTTCACAACTTGGTTTTCATCAATGCAGAGTTATGCTATTCTTCAACTAAAAGAAAAGAAAAGCAGGTTTAAGTGCAATCTCTTTGTATTTCTAGTACTAGATAAGGAAGGAAGTGACTTAGATAATTGCAGGCTCTGATAAATAAACACTATGATAAAATTATGGAATAAAATAAAAAAGTGCAGGATCTCAAAAATGAAATGTATATATGATGAAGAGTCATCAGTTTCAAAAACTTTTCACCAGCACTTTTAATTAGCCTGAAATGAACCAAAAACTGGTATGAAAACTTGAGAGTAGTGAATTACTTATCACAGTGGCCCAGCATAATGCAGGAGTAATAAAATCACTTGAATAACTTTGCTTCAAGGTGATTAGAATCTATAGATTCTGGATCTTCTTTCTGTGTATTTCTCTTTCTACGATTTTATCTACTGTCTATGAACTATTTTGATTCAGGAAGATTTTTTTCATAGAAGGCTACGTGGAGGAAGACAGAATTTGTTTTTAGCCATCCTAATTATTTTTGTATTATTCCATCTAGGGTTCCTGAAAATACATATGGGAAACAAGAGAGTGCAAATATACATGTCAAACCTCACTAGATTAAGAGTAGTTTTTATTTCCTGTGTGACGGCCAATTAATTTTTGCAGACATTCTTCTCTGAGTTATGGCATGGATTATGATACAAAGTGAGATTCCATTGATTGATAGTGGAAAAGCCAAGTCATTTAATTGTTCTCTTATATTTTTTGCCAGTTGGTTTATTTTATTTAACTTTGTGTTTGCTTAATGTCTGAAGACATGTTTTGTCACATCTTTGGCATCATCAGAACAATGCTGCTTTGCAATGAAAAAATTGCCCTATGTACTACTCCAGAGAAAGAAATGGAATATGTTATGTTCGTATCCATTATGCATATGTAGTATTGTCCTTTATTTCTTAGCTTGGATCTGCATTAAGATTTGACTCTTGACTTTGATGACTCTACCCATGGGTAGATTTCTTAAAAATAGTTTCAGGACAGTAATAAGAATAGGATTAATGCTTCACTATTAGCATCTACCTGAATTTGGTTTTTTAAAAATGAACACTGGTACCATTGGAATAGGAAATCTAATTCTCCCATCCATATGCTTTTGACATGGGGCAACTGTTTTAAAATGTTAAATTTTATCTGCTATTGCTTATACATTCAAAATGAGAAATAGATCTAACTGGAGACTAGTTCTCACACTGCCAGAGTTTATAGTGAAGTGTATAATGATTTCAACAATGCATTTGATGACATCCTCCAGTATATTTACCCTTACAAAATAACCCTACACTTGCTAGATGCTTCAGCCACTGTTTAAGCAGCCTACTCAACATTTATACATTAAGGAGTCCGTATCAACCTGGAGAGACACCTCCCCCCCAAGTGGAAGCACTTAGGATGAAGAGGGGGGGAAAGAGGGAGAGAGAGGGGGGGAGGAAGAGAGAGAGAGAGACCCCACTTTTCAATCTCTTTGCAGAGGGCATAAGGCTAAGAGGGATAACAAAATTCCACAGAAGACAGAATCAGGATTCAAAAGGATCTTGACCAGCTGAAAAAAGGCTAGTTATTGGTCATAGAACGGCCCCCTAGCCTCTTCCATTCTGATCCGTTCATCTCCATCCTTTCAATATTTGCCTTTTCAGGTTATTGTGTGTTTAATGACAGCCCTGAGGTATATGGATATGAGTTTATATTATTTTATCCATAAGGAATAAATGGGAAATTAGCATCTAAAAAGGTAATGGCCTTATTTTAAGCCTCTCTAATATATAAAACTAGATTTATTTATTTATTTTTGGGTTGTGTTATCTTTACAACCTCCAACTGGAGTGTGACCCATATTACCAAAATGTCCAACCAAAATGGGCAACAAATTGTTGTTTTTTTAATCTGTAAATATCTAAAACATTCAAACTTAAATTTTTATCAGGTATGTGTATGTGCATGTATGCCTGCATGCACAAGGATATATGTTTGGTTTTTTTAGTGTACATAAAGTATTATTTCTATTATTAGGGCAGGGGCTTGACTACACTCTGCAGTTTCAACAAGAAGCATGGGCACTTAGCCACCCTTTGGCCTATGAAGAAGGCTCTTCCTGGGTTAAATGAATAGATTTCTTGGAACAGCTGATTAGGAAAGTGGCCTTAGTATATGCTGACATCCTCCAAAGAGATGGAAAAGTAAAGCTTTCATTGCAAGATCTGAAGAATAGCTAAAAGGTTAACATCTGGAAAACTCAGAGGTTTCCTGCCTATGGAAATAGAAATTAAAGCAACTTAAAAGGCTGATAATTAATGACATCAAGAGACTTTCAAAGGCTCCATAACACATTACATCATTTGATGATTTACTTTTGAAATGCCTGAAGAAGAAGAAGAAAAAACAAAAGTTGCCTGTATGATTGATTGATTAATTGGATGGATGGATGGGCTATTCTTCACATTTAAAGTCACTTTCTATTTTACAACTAGCTGTACCCGGCCACGCATTGCTGTGGCTCAGTCTGGTTAAATGGAAAAGAAAGAAAAGAGAAAGCACACGTTTGTAATATGTTTAATTTCACAATGCTAGCGTGTGTTGCTTTTACGTCCAACAGATGGTGCTGTTTTTCAAAAAAGCATGTTTTTACCTGTCACAGGTGTGACATCTATATAATATAGGTATATAAAAACACGCGTGTATTCGAATGCAACGTTGTGTCAAAATTTCAAAGCAATCGGTGAAGACCTTTCGGAGATTTAAGATTTTAAACAAACGAACATTTACATTTTTATTTATATAGATAATATAAGGGGTAAACTAACAAATGTTTCAAAATTTCTTTGCAAGAGTTCTAACAACTAAACTAGCATGAAAATAATTTTTTTTATGTACGAGAGCAAATTTCCCTGAGACTGCATTCTGAGCAGCAGAGCTTTGGGTTCAGCTGCTATTAACTTGCCAGAAGTCCCTAAGGAGTTTCCGTGTTCAGAGGTGCTGCGCTTCCTTTAAGCATTACAGCTGAAGTTTTTTGTCAGCAAAATAATGAGAGGGTGTGAATGAGGATAAGACTTGAGATGAAATAATGAGCTCAGCCAAGGCACTTTCTGGGAATAATTTTTGTGCTTGCTTTTAATTTAAACATCTGCTGTTCCCTATTATAGGACATGGAGGGCTTATAGTTTGGTTTTTTCTATTTATCCCAGAGCATGGCATACAAGAACAGACCAGATCCCTAGCAGACTTAAGGTTTATAAGGATAATTTTATAACAGATTATAAATTATAAAGATAATTTTATAACAGATATCTGGCAAGATTAGTATTGTGCAATCTCTCTGCCTTATTTATACTATGAGTTCCAGATTATAGATATCTGGTACAAGTCACAATGACATAGAAGCATAGAGTTAGTAGACTTTAGTAGATTTTCGAGGTCTTCTAGTCCAACCCCCCCCCAAGCCAAGGAGTCATCAGGTGTAAGCTATTGCCATCACACAAATGACATGAATTATCTTACTTGCATCGGTGTACCATGATGTACCCTTCCTTATCTCCCTACAGTACTTGTGCTTTCTCCATTTCCCCATCATGTTTTCCATAAGTTTGTTTCCGGAGATGATCCATCATGGAGAAAAAGAATCCATAGATGCAATTGTCTGTCTGGAAGTACTCTAAAGCTGGGTTTGACTAAAGCCAGCACTGAATTAAGGCTATAATATGACCTTATTTGTTTTGCTTAATGTGCTAATCCAAGGTAGTAATTTCAAATGGCAATCCAGATTTTACGATTTAGCATTTTGTATGAACCCAAGGAATTATGGCCTAGTCCACAAACGATGATTAAACAAATCATAACTTTGTGTAGTCCATGAACACAAGCAGATAAATATATTTAATTTCATGTGTCACCAATCAGGCTTTGTCCTGATAATCAATAGGCTTCATTAACACTAATTAGTACAGATGATATGTGGGATGACTAGGTGGAGCTGATTGTTGTGAGGAAAATAAAAAGAAGAAGTATTTTGTTCAGTGTTTTGAGTTACTTTTAAGTAAAAAAAAGGCATGCAAACAGCAAAATCAAATCAGAGGGAGTGATAGAGAGGGCTAGCCTAAGCAGGGCTTTTTTTCTCATAGAACGCCCAGAACGGAATTCCGGCACCTTTTTTGGATGGAACCTTGTAGGGTAGGCAAGGCGGGTTGTATGATGTGTGAGTTCTGGCACTTTTTTTTTTTTTTTTTTTTTACAAAAAAAGCACTGAGCCTAAGTAATGGCCTAAGTAATCTCTTTCGGCTAGTCATATTTTACAAACATGGAAGAGAGATATTTGAAATTAATCCTCTTTTCCTGTTTCTAGTAGAAAAGCAAAATCTTAGCAGATCGCCCACCACAAAGAACTCCTGTAAGAATTCTGTTTCTTTATATTTCATGTCCTGTCCATTCTCCCAAGCTTCATAGGGCAGTTGAAAATGGAAAGCAAGGATGGGATGGCTAAGCCTTCCTCAATTCTGTCTCTTGCTGTGCCAGCCCTGCTCAGGCAGTCCTGGACTTTGGTAGATACGTGATTTGTCGTCGGTCTGAGGGGATATCGGCCTGATACGGAGTGGATCAAGTAACTGGTTTGATTGTGTTGGTTGCTGCTACTGTGGGGAGGAGGGGGATATGAATTTATATTGTGGGTTTTTATTCTGTGGATGTTATGAGCCTCCCAGAGTAACCATAAAGAGTTCAGCAGCCATACAAACTTATTTAATAAATAAATATTAAAACCGTCATATAGCTATAATAAAAAATACTTGACTTCCATCCCCCTTTAAAACTATAAGACCCTCTGTGGTGGAAAATTATTTCACAATTTATCATAACTCTTCTACCATTTATTCTAAATGAGTGAAAGATACAGTAAGTAGGAAAAATATTATTTTAAAAATTAATGACTACAGCTGAAATTAAATGAAATAGGATCAGTCAATCTACTGACTGGGAATGACAGGAGCTGTGGTCAAACTGATCTAGAGATACCAGGTTATGAGATTTGATCAGGTCATCTTAATTGAACGTATTGTGCTATTTTCAGTGTGTAGAAAGAATGTAACATATTTGGATCTCATAGCTTTCAGGAGAATGCCCTGCCACTCAAATGGAACATCTTTTTCAATTTTGCATTTAGTGGAAACTACTGTACGTTCATGTATTATTTCATAATTTTTCTCTCCAGAGCCAAAGAAATCAAGACAAAGTTAGGCACGCTCCTCCAGAAGCCAGACTCTGCTATTGACCTGATTATCCCTTACCCAGAGAAGCCAGCAAAGGTTCAAAAGTAGGTATATAATTATTAGTCTATTTACCACATGTCCATACTTAACAGTTTAGGGGATGGAGGGAAGGTTCCCCATCCCTGATTAAGGTATGCTTTAATCTGCAGCCAGTTCTGTGATCTTATTTCCTTTCAGCATTACTTTTGCATTTTACTAAGGTGCACTTTTCATAATGTTACTTTAAACACTGGCAAAATCATTTGCATTATGCAAAAATAATGTCAGAATCACCAGATATCTTCCTTGCAATGCAATTTCAAATCATAGACTGAAGACCTATTAAAACTGAACATTTGCACCACATGATCTTTTACAAATATATGTTGGTTTTGAATTATGAAGACCAGCCAATCGCCTCTCACTACAGTATGTTCAGAGGTATAGCTTGGTGGAAGAAACAAGTGTCCCTAAGCATTTTACTACCATTACATAATGATATTTCGTACGGCAAAGGTGGCTTGGATTCTTTAGGCTTCCGGTATGAGATCTGGAGTTAAGGAAGTAAGAGTGTGCTCCTTACTGTCGATATTTATTCTTCTTGACAATTTTGTCAGATTATGCTTATAGGACATGTGTGCATGAACATCCAGAACTGCCTCACTTTTTTTGGCTTCACTCAAAGCAGCAGACTGACATAGATTTAACATGTGGAACTTTTCCTGACATGGAGCTAGACAGGAAGTGCCCAATTCTATAAGACTACTATTCAAATGCAGAGCATAGGTCCTTGACTTACAACAGTTCATTTAGTGACCATTCAAAATTACAATGGCACTAAAAAATGACATATGACAGTTTTTCACACAACCATTGCAATATCCCCATGGTCATATGATCAAAATTTGGACACTTGACAACTGACTCATATTTATGATGATTGCAGTATCCTGGGGTCGTGATCACCTTTTGCGACCTTGTGACAAGCAAAGTCAATGGGGAGCCGGATTCGCTTAATAACTGTGTTACTAATGTCACAACTGTGGTGATTCACTTAACAACTGTGGCAAGAAAGTTTGTAAAATGGGGCAAAATTCACTTAACAAGTGACTCATTTAGCAAGAGAACTACCTGGAATTGTTATATTCCACTGATTCTTATAACATTCACCATACCTTAGAAAAGAAAATCACACGTGCTTCCACTGGTCGGTAAATGATACAGAACTCAACAGAGATTTAAAACAAGCATTTGATAACAAATTTATTTCCATGATACATGGGACAAGATACATTTTTCATTTTGGAAAAGGCGAAATCAGATCAGCTTGAAAAATATTTCTGTGCTTGTCTTATAATTCTGATATGTTTGAAACTGATGGTATCAAGAAGACTGGTTTTACTGGACATCTGGTTTGGCATCGCGGTGCTGCGGATGCTGGAAGACGAGCTCTGTCTTTTGCATCTGAATTCATCCCACTGGGCTGGGGGACCCTGGAAAGGGTTGAAAGTCACCCTGTAGGGGCGATGAGCAAGGAGGGGAAGCCCTCCAAACCAGCGGGGGAAAGATCGGCCATAGCAATATGGCTCATCACTAAGCGGCTGACAGCCGAAGTCAAAATCGCCATCAAGCACCTTTAAAGCAACATGGATGAAACTGGGTGAGATCTGATCTTCTCTTTAAGACTTCAAATATTTTTTCCTGTAAAAGCTGCCCAAAGTATTTTTCCCCTGTGAGGAGAGGGAAGGGAATTTCTACCCCACTCTCTAAGAACAGCGGCGACTAACTACCCAAGGGAAACAGAGCAACTATAAGAACAATTCTAATCTAAGTGGATGTATATGCTTTTGAAACTTGGGGACTAAAAGTATTCCTATTCTTACTGGAGATGTTTGTTTTTATCTAAAAAAATAAGACTTGAAAAACTATCATAAAAACTTTGGACTTAAAAAAATTTAAATGGCATCGGTGACATCCTGTGGCAAAGTATGGTATTACAACTTGTTATTGCTTAAAAGAGACTTGGCTTGAAGCCCTGACCCCAGAAAAAAACCTTCTCTGACCTTGACAGCTACCACCTGTGAAAAACTCAGCTGCAAAGAAGGAACTTCTGGGCGGCATATCTGGCCTGTTTGAACTATGAATATAAACTTTTACTGACTTTCAGAGCTATACGTGGGGAATTGCTTTCCTATTTCTTTACATGAGAAGCATGTTATCACACAAGATGAATACCTTGGACTATAAACTATAAACTCTTACTTGACAAACAATTTCTACTATAAAGACTACCTATAACACGTGAAATTGATGTTCCATACCTAGCTATAAAAAACAAAAAACTATTCTTAACGTTTGATTCTAAAGTCTTCAACTTAACATACTATCAAGAGAATATGAATGAAGATCAGGAAAAAATCCTTTCCATGTTGAAATCAATACACGAAACCATTCTTTTAGCTTGTGACTAAATAAGATGCAACATAAAGGAACAAGATGCCAGCTTAAATATACAAACCCAGATCTTGACTACAACCAAAGAACTAACAATACAGAAAATAACAGGAGAAGTGGAACAACTAAATACTAAGACAGAGGACCCAATTGACCAACAGATCCAGCCAACAGAAAAATTAGAAAAGGGAGTGACAACACTAAAACTAGAAAAGACTTTTTACAAAAATCAGAAGAAATTTGAGGAAAAGGAAAAACAGATAGAAAGGAAAATAAACTTATCAGGTCAATTGTGGGAAATTGGAATAGGAAGGCAATCTAATGAATACAAATGGGCTAGTTCTTCCAAAAAAACTGCAACTAAGTAGTCTTTCTTATTCCAAATAATATATATCATAATAGAGGGAGAACTATTTGATGATTCAAAAGCATTGACAATGGAAGGTTAGTTGGCAAAGGAAGAAAGCCAGAGTAAGGCTGAAGAAAATAAGGGTTTTGATTTATTAGAGGGGATCTCCTATTTCTCACTAGAGGGTTGAATATGGTGGAAAATAGATATTTTTTAGAAAATAAAGTAACATTATAATTGAATAGGTAAGATGTGTAACAAGACTAATAGACTTTGGTATGAAAAGGGAAAAAGGGAGAAGTTGAGATGAGGGAAATTTTGGTCACCTAATATAAAATATTTGGAAATCAGTTGAAAATAAGAATTCTGTTTGCCCAATATGAGATAATAGATATTATCAGAAAAAGAGAGGGAGTATTTGAGCTTTCAGAAATTAGACCTAAATGAAAAAAATAATGTATATTACTGATTTATTGGTTAACCCAGACAATACATATAATGGTTTTGATCTATTAGAGGGTATACTGTATTATTAATTAGATAGATTAATATGGTGGAAGATAACTTTTAGAAAACAGAATAAGACCATATTCAAATAGATAAGATGTGTATTTAGAATATTAGATTTTGTTATGAAAAGGGAAAAAGGAAGAAGTTGAGATAAGGGAAACTTTGGTTACCTAAAGCTTGGAAATTATAAATACCAAATGTTAATTTGAATATTGACGGGGAATTAAAGCTTGGGAAGAAAGCAATAACAGGACATTGATTGTATATAAGGATTGAATGCAAACACAATTAAGATATATATAAGCTAAAAATTATTGATAAATGTAACAAAGATGTTTTTACTTAGTTGATAATAATAAGAACTATGTTAGCCTAATATGAGATAGTAGATATTAAGGGAAAAAGAGAGGAAATATATGATATTGTAACTTGAGATTTATACTAAAGATTTATTGACCAACCCAGTTACCACATTGCTTTTTAAATACTTAATTGTAAAATTAGAAAACTAATAAAATATTATAAAAAAATTAAAAAGAAGACTGGTTTTACTAATGAAGAAACTTGAAATAAGAAAACCTTATTTTTTTTTAAAGATCCAAATCCACTCATTTCACTAGTAGTGTGGAATGTGGTCACAGTTACTTTGGAGGGAGTGCGGAAAAGAAAGAGGGAAGAAAGGGGACAGGCATATCTTCCTACAGAAAGGCAAAATTGCTTTGTATGTTAATTATAGAGAATACTAAGAATTTTTTTCCTGTGGGTGTTGTTGAAAGCTTTAAAATCTTTCATCCCTACTGATGTTCTTCACTGATGAAGAACAACTATGAACACAAGAAAACATCTGTGCTTCTGGAGAAGCAGATTATCATCTACAAGAGCTTGAATAGTTAAAATGTGTTAATATTTAAGGTGCTGTTAAGACCCTCACATTGTTTGCTTGCTTTTTATTCTTGCTTTTTTATTTATTTTTTTTGCTACAACAAACTGACACAATTAGTCCCTTTAGAAGGTTTTATATCATTATTGTTCGACTAGATTGGAAGCAGGCAAATTTAAGAAGAGCTATATGAATGAAAACAATGTTAAATGGTTGTGATACATTGATACGAGACCATTAGAAAAAGTGGCTCCATTTGTGTTTATCTCTGGACTTCAGGAAACTTGCCGTTGCTGCTGCCGCTGCCAAAGGCAAATTGCCAACATTAATCACTGTCATTTTTTTTCCTGTGAGAACGCAGTCTCCCATCTGTACGAAAGACAAAGCAGTTCCAGGAACTGGAACAAAATGAACACCAGTAGCATCGATGCTATTAGGGAAAAAAGTGGCCTTAATGCACAAGGGGAACCTCTTCTGGCTGATTGTCCCTGAATCTGTTTCTAATTAGGCTGTAAAAAAAAGGCTCAGCAGACAGGCTGATCTAAAGATTGCACGGTGACTGGCACTGTAGATAATAGCTTAATTTTAACTACTGCTACAGACAAATTAGATAGATCATACACTCTTTTCAGAGCCATTTGGAACAAATTAGGCTGTGGGTTTATGGGCTGTTTTCAACATCATAATTAAGCAGATCTTGTCATGGCAATGGAAACAGATGTGGTGAGGCGGGTTCTCCATGGGTCTTCGGGAAGGAAAGTGTTTGGTTTCCCATTGGGGTGGAAAAGGAAGACCATGGCTGCTCTAGCAATGAGAACAAGATTGTAGGTATTCTATCCCAACCCCAACTGGATTCTGGCAGTACATCAATCTGAGAAATAACATTTCCTGAGCAAATTAGCCTTTTTTGCCTAATTAGTTTTTAAAAATAGAACCATGTTTCATAATTCGGTCTGGTCTGATTTTTCTCAGAGTGCAAAGATACAAATGTTTGAGGTTTCTTCTCCTGATTATTTTCTGCCCCTTCTTTGGCCTGAAGAGCCCTTTGCCCCAAACAATTAAGCAGATCTTATCCACGTGGACAGAAACTTTTATTTGATGAAAACTGATTCTCATGAACTTGAATGTCATGCCCCAAACCACTTCCTGCACTTATACAGAACCGAGGGAGGCCTATGAGTCCTGGATTAAGGCCAGGAAAAATGGTTTTGTCTACTGACAAGATAAAACTCCTCAGCTTAATCCAGTAAAATGGAAATGATTTCTTTAAGGTGGTTCATCCCAGTACAAACTGCTTGATTAAACAGGGAAGAGGTTAAACAAACAGTTAAGTTTATTTAAAAAGGATACCGGTTGCTGCTAAGAAAAACATTCATTAATCACTCATTAACATGAGGTGGGGAGATTTGGTTGACTATATAGGCAAGTACCAGGGATGAAGGCCTTAGCCACTTTTAAAGTTGTCCAACTAGAGGTTTCTGGAATAGAGGTTCCCTGCATTATTGACCTGCCCCTTGGGCTCTTTCTAACACAGGTCTAGCACTGTTTGGGAAAAACACTAAATCTGGGTCAAAAACCATGGTCTGACTGACAGTTCTCATCTGCAGTGAAGTGCTGTAGGCTGAAATCTATAGGCATTTCCTGAGGGTTCTTCCCCCATTTATTCTACACTCCTATGCCACATATCCTACTTGTCAGTCAGGCACAGGGTGAAGCAGGAAAGAAAACATTATAAATGCTGCAAGGGAGTGACAACATTAGCAGCACCTACATGCAGAGCATGGATTAGAATAGGCAAAAATGGTGTTGCTCCTGTAAAGTAAGAAATAAAGACAGTAGAAAGTAACATCACATGAAAGTCCTTGTGAGAAGAAGCAACAAAAATGTGGAACACATTTATTTGGGATAAACAATAAAATAAGTAAAGAAATAAATGCAAATAGGTCTGTAGTTCTTTCAAAAGCTTGCTAAACCAGGTATAGAAAAAGAAGCATGTGTAATGCCTCACCACTGTTACCAAGTGCCAGTTAGGTATAATTACATGAGCAGATACAATTATGGGAGCCAGGTGTGAGATCTCTCTGGCAAACTAAGCCATGGAGGGCAATGCTTAGCAATGTGAGGAGAAAAGCATGGCAGTTGCAGTCTAGTGGGGCAGACAGGAGCTGGGCAGATGGTAGTTTATGACTTCATCATCACCAGCATAATCACTAAAGCATTGCAGATGGTTCACATGGCAAGACCTGTGTCAGGAGAAGAGGCAAAACACACTTTAAAACTGGAACAGCTGAATATGAATTTAATTGGCTCCATGACATTAGAGCAGGCTAAGCCACTGACTGAAGGAGATGTCATGACATTATGCCCACTAAAAATGGTTCGTGGGACATCTTTGTGCTGTAGGTAGGAGACATGAGGATGAGCCCACCCGTTAATTGATATAAAAACAACTTTCCAAACCATTGACTAACCTCTGATGCTATAGTTGCCACTTTTTCCATTTTATGTTTTATCCTCTTTTTAACAGAATAGATGATTTTAAATAGCAGCTTTCTACTCATTATCATGCAGAAAAATTTGTGTATGCAGTTCTATAGCAGTTGACCTATAATCTTATTCATTAATGAACATTCCCATTCTACTTTTTATATGCATCCTTTCATTTATTAAAAGTGCTTAATAAAAGTACTGTGATGGCATTTAGAGTGCGAGAAATGGTAGATTCAAATTTCTGTTTCCTGATTACAGAATTTCCCAGATCTACACACAGTTTTATGTCTTTTGAGGCAAAGTAAGCAATCTCAAAGTATCTCACTAGTGAGCTCTTTTCTCTCTTAGGCTTGTTGGTATCTGTATGGACTTCTATAGTAGTTGCTATTTTGTCTTACATTAATACTTTAATTTCAAATCCTTACAGCCTGAGTAAAATCAGATAATTAGCATCCACTTTGCTATGGGAGTCTGTAGCATACTCACTTGAGACAAAAGCAATCATTTTCTTGACCAGCGTGGGAACTGATGACAAATCTGTGGGAGAGACAAAACCATATCCCAAAGCCACAGCCAAAGCAGGGGAAAAATTCAAACTTCAGATTTTGAAAAATAAAATGAAAGAATGAATACTCAGGGGAATACTCAGAGGGAATACTCTCTGCATGGAGTACAATTATCCTACATTCAGACCCATTCTGCTTCATAGAGGACAACGTAGAGTTGGAAATAAAAAGGATGAGAGGAATGACAAAAGCTGAAATGTTAAAGGAAGAATATGAAGAACCGTACTTTAAATGTATATGTACTCTTTCAGTATCAGAGAATAACCAAAAATAGTGCCATCACTCCAGCCCTATATAAACTGCTTTCTCTCTTGCTCCATAAGATGTCCCTGAAGGATCTCCTGCTTGAGCAGGGGGTTGTACTAGAATACCTTCAAGGTCCTTTCAATGCTATTATTCTCTTTGATCTCCATGCATCTTTTCCTCAAGTTCCACTACCTCAAGTCAATGGTCAGCTTTTGTAGACTAATTTCCAACCTTACCAATTTTCTTGGCCATACCAATTTTCCTGCTGTTTTTCTATTCATTTTCAATTAACAAATCCATAGATATATTTATCTGATCATACTGAAAAGCAGAGGAAAGTACATTTTGCTGAAATGGCCACATGACCATGAACTGCCTGCCTGAGGCAATCTATATGTTCCTAGTTTTGCCTAGACCTAGTACAAGGTCTACCATCTAACTCAGTGTTTCTCAACCTTGACAACTTTAAGGCATGTGAACTTCAACTCCCAGAATTCCACAGCCAGCACTGATCTAACTGCTTTTTACAGTTTGAAAGATATGAGACTTACATCCATTATTAGATGGATTTAACAAATGATTGGCATCAGTTCCATGTAAACTGCACATATTTTTAGTTCTTTCAAATACGGCTTTTCCTCATCAAGTTAAGCTGTTGTCCACCAGTCCTTGAGCTACCATAAAATTTGTTATCCTTCCATTGTCATCATGTCACCAAACAGAGTAGTCCTTATTTACAGTATACAGTGCACTTTAATATTAGGGATTGGAGAATTCCCTGGCTCAGGGTTCTCCATCAAAATCAACCAGCCAGTGGGAAAACAGGAATCTTAACAGGGTTGGGAACAGGGCTGTGGAGTAGGTAAACCTTGACAGATGGCAGACAGACAGTAGGTTTAGACTCTGTCAAAACTCATTCTATTTTAGCAACCTTTTTTCATAGACTTGATGGAAACCTGATTATTCACTAACACTAACTGGTAATTGGGCTCGTTTTGGTCATGGTTTAATGCTCTTCCATATAATAAAAAGGGGGTTGCAGTATAAATAGCAAATGTCTTATTCACTCACTATGACTTCATCCCATGACCTTTCTTTGCTGCCATTGACTCAGAGACTTGGTGTCTACAGAGGATGAAGCTGGCTTGAAATGGATTTTCATACCACTCAAATAGTTTTGAAGTTCACTGCATAGGTACTGGGGAGAAAGGAGTATATCTGCACTAGCTTAATATGACCTACAGGAGCTTATCAGAGCAAATCACCTACTGTATGTATCAACATCAGGAACAGAACGGTGAGTGTAGTGTGCCAGATAATTTCTATACCAAAATCATATCATGTTCAAAGGAAGAATACTAGTTTAAAATCAGAACACATAAGGACAACTTAAGGCTGCATCAGATAAAGACATTATAAAGGCATAGCATAGGAAGGAGGTTGCTGGGCCATATTTGTGCCACAGTTAGCTTCAAGGCTAAGAAAAGTTACAGAACTAGTGAAGGAGATTATAAAGAGATTGTAAAATCATGAATAAGGCAGAGCAATAGTTCAATAAAAGACTCCTTTTCTGATTTGTTGATCTAAAGAATATGCTTTTATATATTTTATATATATTCATTTTAATATTTCCAGACCTTCCCCAGAAGAAGCTTGGCAGTGGCACAATTCCTTGGAAAAGCTCCTTCAAAACCCTTGTAAGTCTTTTCTAAAGATCTCAACCTATTGAGAACATTTATCCTAAGAATAATAAGATATTGAGAAACTAGGATAAAGCATTGTTATGTCATCTATGGAGGAGTGCTAAGATTGCAACTGAAATAAAAACCTATTGTCTTCTTTGTCATTTCGTATATTTGCATGAGTCTTATATGCAGTATAAAATTATATCAGCCTGTATCTCAGATCAGAAGCAGAAGGATCAGAGTACACTTGGGATGTTTATAATACTCTAACCCTAACCCTTTCTCTATACTGTATCTTAGTGAATAAAATACAGGTGGTACTTGACTTATGATCACAATTAGGCCCAAAATTTCCACTTCTAAGCAGTTGTTAAATGAGTTTCACCCTATTTTATGACCATTTTTTTTTACCACAGATCAATACAGTCATTAAGCGAGTCTGGCTCCCCCCCAACTTTGTTTGTTGGAAGCCAGCTGGGAAGATTACAAATGGTAATCACTTTACAAAGATGGGATAAACTGCATTTATCATTATTGGGGAGGATCTCTGTAATCAAGATGAATGTTCTACCGAAGATGCTTTTTCTGTTCCAGACATTTCCAATACTTGCAACTGATGTCCCATTCAAACAATGGCAAAGAGATATTAGATATAAGTTATTGCAAGATGCTGAGGAAAGAGGGGCTTGGGTTTATCAGATTTGAACTTGTATTTTGAGGCATGTTGCCTGGCTTGGTCAAAAGAATGGGTGAACTTCCAGAATAAGAGGCTACTTAATTTGGAAGGTCATGAACTAAGGCTTAGATGGCACGGTTATTTATGGTATGATAAAGTTAAAGTTAATGATGATTTTAATAATCACTTCACTAAACGTGCCATACTAAGAATATGCTAAGGCTTATGAAATGCTATTGAAATTAAATTTGGAAAGTGAACATGTAAAACATTGTATGATACAATGGGCAAGGAACGTTGGTTATAATGTAATGCTGGAATGGGAGAATATGTGAACAAAAAGTTTAAAATTTACATTGAACTACAATTTAAAAGAAAATTTCTATAAGATAATGTATCGCTGGTATTTAATACCAGACAAGCTGTCTAGAATATATAAAGGTATTTCAAATGAATGCTGGAAATCTAAAAGGAAAGAAGGACCTTTTACCATTTATGGTGGACATGTGATAAAACAAAGAAATATTGGAGAAGGATTCACATTTTGGTACAGAAAATCTTTAAAATAAAAATAAATATGAAACCAGAATTTTTTCTTTTGGGTCTAATAGAAAAAAACTTGGGAATTTTTTTTGGAACTTTGATCTTGTACATGTTGACGGAAGCAAGATTACTTTATGCACAAAAATGGAAATACATTTCAATTCCCACTATGGACGAATGGCTACAGAAGTTGATGGAGCTGGCAGAGATGGCTAAATTGACTGTTTTGACTAAAGAAAAGAATACAAGTACTTTTGTTTCTACATGGAGACTGCTTCTGGATTTTGTGCTTGAGGTGGAAAAAAATGAAACTTTGATTTTGTGTTTCACCGATTAGATCAGACACGTCAAACACAAGGCTCGGGGGCCAGATGCGGCCCGCGACATGGTTTCATGTGGCTCACGAAGCCATCCTGGAAACAGTGAGGGAATGGCCCCCGCTGCCTTGGCCCTGGCCCAGGCTGGCCGGGAGCCAATGTACAATTTTGTGGTGGCCATCTATGCTGAAACGCATTCAGTCTTAGCTTCACAAGGCTGTCTGAAACAGTGAGGAACCAGCCCCTGCCACATCAGCCCCGCCCCCTGGGTGCATGCTGGGGAGGTGTCACCCTTTGTGAGGAATGAAGAAATGCATCACCGCCTGGAAGTGGCCAGCAAATGGCCCTCGCCTACTTCACATATCTGGCTTGATGGGCTCTGGGGGAGGGGTTTCGGCAGGCAGCGGGGCACTCTCCTCACAGCGCCGAGAGGTTGAGCCGGGCGGTGCGAAGCTCATCAGCTTTGCACCTTGCTGCCTGTTGAAACTGGGCAGGCTGGGGGCTATGCAGCATTGCACTTCTCATCAGATTCGTGCCACCCGGCTCAGCTCTTGGCGCTATGAGGAGAGTGCCCTGCTGCCTGTTGAAACCAGGCAGGCTGGGAGCTGGGCGGCCTCGTGCTTGTTTTTAGATTCACGCCTCCTGGTGCAGCCTCTCGGAGAGAGGAGAGCGCCCCGCTGCCTGCCGAGACCGGGCAGGCTGGGGGCCAGGCGGCACTGCGCAGGTAACATTGACTCTCACGCTGCTCATGGCAACCCCTCCCCCAGAGCCCACCAAGCCAGATATGTGAAGTAGGTGAGGGCCATGTGCTTGCTACTTCCAGGTGATGGTGCATTTCTTCAATCCTCACAAAGGGTGACATCTCCCCAGCTGCGTTTCTTGCCTGTTTTTCTCCCTCCATCATCTCAAATATTTTCCCACCACTCTGTACTTAGGAAAGAAGGAAGGAAAGAAGGAAAGAAGAAGAGGGAGGGTCTGAGGGAAGTCCTACCTTAATCCTGCCCTGCTGCCCTTTCACCATCCCCTTGCCCCCTCCTCCTGGCCTATCCTGGGGGTCCCCCATCCTATTGCTAAGAAAGCTTTGGATACAAAGCCTGGTCTCCTTCCATGGAGAGGGAATGGGCCTCCCTCTGATTTTGCCCTTGTACCCATCATGAGCAACCTGGCTAAGGAGAGAAAGCACAGCAGCAGCAGCCTTGAGGAGGAGGTAAGTGCAACTGGGCGCCCCCTTGGGGAGATGGAGCTGGGCTTGGTGCCGTGGGTGCTCAAGGGCCAGGCTGGGTGTTTGACCTCTGCTGGCCCGCACCACCATCCAGCCCCCCCCTATAGCCTGAGAGGAATAGTGAGGCTCCTCCATGCTTTGGACCATGTCTTGGCACTTGCCCTAGTCCCACCCCCTTCTGCCAGAGACCCTCAGATCTATCCTACTCCTGCCTAGGCCCCATAGCCACCCTTGACGCGAACGATGTAGAGTTGACCACGCCCACCCAGTAGGCCACACCCACTCCATCCATTCCCACCAAGTACGCTGCACCCACCCTGGCCACACCCACCTGGCCCCCTGAGGGCAACCGCAATGCTGATGCGGCCCTCAATGAAATTGAGTTTGACACCCCTGGATTAGATTGATTTGTTGTTACAGAAATGGCCAGTTTATACTACTATGAAAAAGTAAAAAAGTTGTGGCTCAACATTAATGCTTTATTCTACTGCAACAGAGGAAGTTGGAAGTCAATGACTTTTTTTCTTTTTCCCCTCTCTCCCTTACTTTCTTTCCCCCTTTTCCTCCCCATTGTGTCCTACTATTTGCTTTGTATTTTATATTTTACTCTATCATTCAATAAAATGTTTTTAAAAATGGTGATCACATGACTCCAGGACATTGCAACTGTCATAAATACATACCAGTTGCCAAGTACTCAAATTTTGATCACCTGACCATGGGGATGTTGCAGCAGTTGTAAGTGCAAAAAATAGTCATAAGTTACTTTTTTCAGTGAGGACTACCTGCATATGTAAGCTGATTAGTATAGAGCTGACTTAGGAAAAGTAAGTCAGCTCTGTACTAAGGAAAAGTATGTTCCAGGTTAAGGATTACTTGTAATTAAAACTTAGTCCCTTAGTCCCTAAAGAAAATGGAGGATTTGGACTACCGGATTGGGTCTTATACTACCAAGCATGTGCCCTAACATGGTTAAAAGAATGAATAACCCTCAGAAATAAAAGATTGTTATATTTAGGAGGACATGACTTGCAACTTGGATGGCATGCATTTTTATGGTATGAAAAGAATAAAATCCAAAGATATTTCCAAAACCACTACATAAGAAGCGCATTATTATTTGTAGGGGAAAAGATAAAACAAAAAATCTATACGAAAATCCCAGGATGGCCATCAATGATGGAAGCATTCATTCACCCAAACTAAGTTAAACTTGAGAAAATTCTAACATATAAGGATATTCTGAATACAAATGGGAAATTAAAATCTAAACAAGAGTTAGAAGATCAGGGTATTGACTTATCATGGTGGCCTCGACTGCAAATGCAATCGAGGTATGATAAACAAGTTAAAATATATGGTTTTTACAAAGACCAGACAATGTTTGACCAGCTGTTGTCTTCTGATGAAAAAATGATTAAAAAATTGTATAACTTTTTATTGAATTTGAAAATGGAAGACGAACAAGTAAAAGAAACAATGATAATATGGGCAAAAAACTTTGAATACAATATAGAATTAGAGAAATGGCAAAATCTTTGGGAAAGAAACTATAAATTGACAATGGCAACTTTGTACAAAGAAAACCTATATAAAATGTTTTATAGATGGCATCTTCCACCTGTCAGATTAGCAAAAATGTTTAAAAATATGTCTAGTAAATGTTGGAAATGTAATCAAAATCCTGGTACATATTATCATCTATGGTGGACATGTATTAAAGCAAAAGAAATTTGGACAAAAATACATAGTTAGAAAAGATGTTAGTGAAACATGTAGACTTTGAACCTGAACTTTTTTTATTAGGTATAATTCCAGAAAAAAATGATAAACAAAGTGTATATTTAACACTACATGTATTAATAGCAGCGAGGATTGTATTTGCTCAGCACTGGAAAAATGAAAAAAACACCATTGGATGAAGAGATAATCGAGAAAATACTGGACTGTGCTGAAATGGATAGACTTACATTGAGAATCAAAGAAAAAGAAGATACAGAATATTTTCAAACATGGAACTTATTTTATCAATGGCTGGAAAAACGGGATAGAGAGCAAGAACTTAACTCGTATTACTAAGCAAAACAAATCAACCCAGAAAACACATTGTTCATTAAGCACTAATTAATTGTAATAATAAAAAATTAATAAAATACTATTAAAAAAAATAGTCCCTTATTCCTTGTGGCAAGGCTAAGGGGAAAAAGTACTCTCTGTAAGGGAGAAAGGAAATAGAACTTTCTGCAGGAGTTTTCCCTGAGTGGCAGGAAGACTAAGGAAAAAGAGTTTTCCACTTAGGGACAAAAGGAAAAAAAAACTCTTTTCAAGGGACTAAAAGAAAACTCTCTGCAATGGCCAAAGATGCTGCTGGTGGTGAAACTCTCTGAAAAAACTCAAGCTACAGTACAGCACAATATCATACTTAAGCTATGCTATATGTATGTGCCAGTAAGCCTAGCTACTTGACAGTATTAACTATTTTTATTTCAACTATCTCTTGCATTTTATTATTTTATATAAATAAATTCAAGACTGGCAAAAGAGATTACCACACTGATTTCTTGCTTGAGCAGAGGGTTGGACTAGAAAACCTCCAAGGTCCCTTTCAACTCTGTTATTTGATTATGTATTTTTTCTTGCTGCTTTGAAGATTACAGAGAAAAGAGGATACTAAGCCCTTTCGTAAGATAACATAATCCATAAGATAATTGGCAGGAAGCAAGAGAAATTACAACAAATGATTGCAATTAAATATATGGAAAGAAAGGATTATCCAACATCTTCCAAAGCATCACTTTCATAATCTTCAAGCAACTCTTCCATATTGCTGCTAGTTGAATTTTGAATTGAACTGAATTTTGTGTTAATTGTCTTGAAAGTTCTTTGAATCTCCAGTTTAGAATTATCTCGCATTATAGATATCAATCTCATACCCCCCCTTTCTTTTCTTCTGCGCTCTATCTACCTTTTTAATCACCATACAACTATGCACGCACTATCTTTATGATTTTCATTTGGAGTTAACAAAGGGATAATGCTACTGAGTTTCACTGGATATCTAATACAAGGCATGCTTTTGGTGCTTCAAGAATGCCAGCTGCATCAGTGCTTGGATACTAGAAGTAGTGAAAAATTGTGGCTGCTCAGGAACTTCTGCAAGCAAAAGTTGTTCTTTTCTCTTCCAGTTGCCTCAGCTTCTTTAGAAATGCATATTGGTGGGTGTATGGTCTAGCCTTCACTTCTTGATTGTAACTATTGAGACAAGGCTAATTCCTCACCATATTCCTTGTCTCTCAGCAAAGAATTAAGGAAAATTGATATGAAAGAAAGTTATAGTATGAGTTATAGTGTGGTTGAAGTCATTGATGTCTGGATTCTTTCATTCCTTATTTTTATAATCAGTTAACACAGTTTGCTGACCATACTATGTTATCTTCCAAAATTTGTTTTGACAAAACTGATAGGACAGAGTCACATCAGTAGGGCTGAATGATGTTGTTCCAGTATTACAAACAATCTTATAAGTATTTGATCAAAGAAAAAGTTATCAAGAACTGTTGCACAAAAGAGGATTAATTAGGAAACTATAATTTGAAAAAAAAGTGTTATTTCACAATTGTAATTGACATTTTTTAAAATATTTTTTTCCTCTGTGCAGATGGCCTTTCCAGCTTCCGGATTTTCCTCCAATCTGAATTCAGTGAAGAGAACATTGAATTCTGGATTGCGTGTGAACATTATAAGAAGACCAAACCGCCTACCAAAATGACTGAAAAGGCCAAAAAGATCTATGAAGAGTTCATCCAAAGTGAGGCTCCGAAAGAGGTTAGTTGATTGCCATTAGCTGAATGGAGATAAAACCCTGGCTTTTATTAAGAATTAGGGAAATAATCTCTTGAAGGTGCCCCTGTGATTAGGTTCTATGGAGTGCACACCTAAACACAGATCCCTTCCCTTGTCACAGAAGAAATTACTGGTTTGTTCCAGTTCTACACTATACTGAACAAAGACTATATTTGTGAATGTTACAAAACAGACATCAGAAACAAGTCTAAGGAAGCTGTGCAAGGGAAGATTAGTCATTAAAAATTACAGTATAAAGAAATGCATTGAAAAGTGAACCAATCATCATACAAGGCACACCAACATATTACTGCAAAGAGAGTCCATGAGCTGGAAGGCAAGACAAGGCAAGAACTTCATCAGAGAGGTTATACACTGTCCTCTGAAGCACAAAGAATTGGTAGAGTGCTATTTTTAAAGTGGCATTTCCTTTAATTAAGATTAAAACAGCATCAATAGGTTATGATCACAAAGCACTGGTGCTGACATTATGTAATTAGTGGAGGGAGGGTATTATTTTGCACCACTACCAGGGGTGTATCATAAACCCTATAGTTAGATTTGATGACAGTTAGCTTCATGTTTTTAACATCTCTAACAAAAATCTATTTATGTGAATCAAATGTTTCTTATTTGACTTTTTGTTATACATTAAATATATATTTATTTCAGCTGTAGTTTATCAAGGGATATTTATTAGCTGTTAGCTTCACATATGGAATTGCTATTAGCTTCAGGTTTTTTCCATCAGGGAGGCATTTTGGAAAATGCCCCATGTAAAGTATATTGTTGGCACATCACTTGATTTTTATGAGATATGTCCTATGTAATTCCTACAGCTATCTACTCTATCTCCCTCTTGTCAGGTGAATATTGACCATTTCACCAAGTCAGTGACCATGAAGAATCTGGTGGAACCATCTATAAGCACTTTTGACCTAGCCCAGAAGAGAATCTTCATGCTGATGGAGAAGGATTCTCTGCCCAGATTTGTGCGATCCAACTTATATGAAGAATTAGTAAAGTAGCAGTGTGGCGAGCTGTGCAAAGCATTGGTACATCAACACAGGGTCATTGACTCCCCCAATCACCAGTAATCAACATGTCTTATTTATATGGATAGTTGCTTTGCTTTGTATTTATTCCAGGCTTTGAAAACTCAAAGTCTGTGTTGTTAAACATGACTAGCATGACTTAGATGAGGGAATACAAAACAAAAATACAACAAAACAAAAATACAAAATGTCTTTTGCTTTTTAGATATTCTTTCAGTGAACTGTACTTCATATTACTACCAGAAATAATGCTCTCATTATTAGTTTTAGTTCAACAATTTAATGGGTGAATATCTCATTTGACTGCATCCTTTTCTGATGACAGCTACTATTTGCTATGTTGTTATGGACTGGTAAATACCAGCATTTGCTACATATAATAAGGAAATATTTAACAACATATCCCTCAAATGAAACCAAGTACCCTAATATGAGAATCCTTGAATTATATTTGCAATTTGTAGCAAGAAGGGGATGATTTTGGGTTTATGAAAAATCCCCAAAGTTAATGATATGACAAAGAGCAATTATATATTACTGGAATTAAATAAGCAGCTGATCAAAATCCTGGGCTAATTTGTTACTAAAAGAGCAGCTTGATGAAAATCATAAATTGATAGATACCCTCATAGCTAGCAGACAATAGAAATTGTACAATAATGAAACAATTACAGTATCCATTTTAAATAAAAAGTTTCTTCATAGAAGAATGTAAACCTGGACAATTTGTCACCCATCAAACTAAATGCATTCCACTAAAATTTGTTCTATTTTTGCAGATTTAATCAGTCAATAAAACCAGTTTTTAAGCTTCCTGTAGAATATACACAGTTTAGGGGATTTCAGTTGTGAAAGTTCTATCTATTATTAAACAGAGAATAGAGAATCATTCTTGGAATAACAGTGATGGATTCAGAATCCATTCTGCAGTGCTAAAGGTGTGAGATAAATTCAGATCCTGTGCTAAATGGCTATTACTAAAATATTTAGGGAAGGGGTGAGACTGAGAATAAATCAGCAGACCTGCTCAAACAGTATGACTTGTTTAACAACCCAGGCCTTTTGTTACCTCTTTTATCTATTTTTTTCTGTATTAAATTTATAAGTGTTATATTTTTATAATGGCCCTACACAAATTCCAGTGCCCGTGCACAGCTTTAAATAACCTTCCTGAAATCTTCTTATGAATTATGATAGAAATATTTAAGCTGAACCATAGCTGAACCTGTCTGTAGCACACTTCCCAAAGTATTATTACCACACACTTTAACCACAAGATTTAAATGTTCTTGTAATATATGTATTAGTCAGTTCAAGGTATTTAGCCTGCAGTGATATGAATAGAAAAGGCATCCAGATAGAGATGAAAAATGCATTTCATTTTTTAAATAATAGACCAATTGTACTAGTCAAAGCCTCTACTTTGCAAATTACCAGTCAACAATTCAATATAGATGAGAGAGTGACTAAATCTCTCAATGCTGTTTGCCCATCAGCTGTGGTGACTCTGCCTGACAGCCATGGTGATTTAATATTATGGCAGGATGTGCACAGAAGCCATTTTCAAGTTGACAAGTTGTCTAACATCACCCAACCAGAGGTTGACTTAAATTCCTCTCTAACCTAATTTTTTTCTGATTGTAATATGATTGTAATATTTTATTTTTATCAAAAGGGGAGATAAGCCATAATTGCTACCATGCCCTTTACATGATTTAATGGAGCTCATGCAAAAGATGGTCATACTGGATTGGGCCCAGTATGGGGTCTTTACATGGTTTAGTTTTTTTCCCTGCATCTTGAGTAGCAAAAGAAAAAAAAACAGGGGGAAGAGGTCCCAAGTGCTTGGCTTCCCTTGTTTTTTTTTCCTTACTCTGTCCTTTTGCACCATCACTATCCTCTTCTTACTTCACTAGGCCTCAGTTGCCTCATTCCCGCCCCATAATATTCCATTTTCCAACTGCTAAGTGCTAGCCTTTAGTACTTAGGCAGCCAATCCAGCTGCCAATAGTGGCCCAGATCTAAATAACACTGGATCTTGCATCTCTCTTCTTAGAGTGCTCTCAATTGAATGAGCATTTAATAGCATAACAAATGTAGATTTGGCCTCTTAAATATATCCAAAAAGTTAAGTGCCAGAAAATTTCACCAACCAGGTCATCATTTCCAATTCTCTTGAAATTGTGAGGGGATTATGTAATTATTCCCAGGGTCCATTTTGGAAAGCACATCCATCCTGGTGACTCACAAGTTATTAAGATGCTGGAGGGAGATTTTCCAATTACAGCCATAGGCTATTCTATCCTGATGTCTGAAGGAGCTTGTCAATAAGTTTAACCCAGCAGCCTACTTACTTGGCTCTGTGATATTCCTGGTGACTTGAAATAAACAAAGGTTCAACAAGCTTGTTAAAATTGTAGTAAAAATAACTTATAAATTTTGCTTCCACCCTAACAGACTAAATATATCAGGCATAGCTAAAAAATAGGGTTAAATGTCAGCAACATCATGCAAATTAAAGAGTTATGCATCATTTTTTCCCTAATTTCACAGCATAGAATATATTGGGCTAAATTCTCACCACGCATCTAAAAATGGAAATATTTAGGTTTGTTTTGTCTCTTGAAGTAGGTACAGAGTTTGGAATTAAATTTGTATCAGAACATGATAATTATACAGATTTCTCTAGTTCATTATTATATTATTCTCAGTTGTGGATTCGGGCTCATTCTGGATATAAAGCAATATGATTATAATTGTATGAGATCTGAATCAGTTATAGCTATGAGAATTCTGTACAAAAGATTTACCTTTAGGAGTTGTCCTGTTTTAATTCCATGTAGGTATATTCATAGTCCACGGTTTTAAAGCAGCTTCAACTTTTGGTTGAAAGAGAAAGAAGAAATGCTGGCTGTAACAAATAATTTCAAAACACAGTCTGTGTCTTTTCCAATTTGAATAGAAAACAGTGACAATATCAGTGGAATGGGATCATGGACAACCAGATCGAGGGCTTTTCAACCTCTTCACCGATTGTACCACTTTTAGAATATGGCAACATTCGAGTACCACCAGTCACCTAGCAAGGTGTCAAAAACCTGACCCCCCCAAAAACCGCAAAAAAATGATAAAGTACAGATAGTCCTCGACTTACAACAGTTCATTTAGTGACCGTTCGAAGTTACAATGGCACTGAAAAAAGTGACTTATGACCATTTTCACACTTATGACCATTGCAGCATCCTCAGGGTCATGTGATTTATATTCGGATGCTTGGCAACCGATTCATATTTATGATGGTCACATTGTTCCAGGGTCATGTGATCACCTTTCGCAAGCAAAGTTAGTGGGGAAACCAGAGTCACTTAACAACCATGTTACTAATTTAACAACTGCAGTGATTCACTTAACAACTGTGGCAAGAAAAGTCATAAAATGGGGCAAAGCTCATTTAACAAATTTCTCTCCCCCCTTTTATATCCAAGTTCCCTCCCTCCTTCCCGGACTCTTTCTTTCCTTCCTTCCTTCCTTCCTTCCTTCCTTCCTTCCTTCCTTCCTTCCTTCCTTCCTTCCTTCCTTCCTCCCTCCCTCCCTCCCTCCCTCCCTCCCTCCCTCCCCTGCTTTTTTTTTAAACTGACAGAGGCTCTGGGAAGAGGTGACAACAGGCAGGCAGTGGTGGGCAAAAGCTTCCCCTCCCCCCTGCCATTGCCTCTGTGTGGCTTGGCTCAGCTCACCTCTCCCAGACCTGCGCATGTGTTTGTGTGTGTGTGAGAGCACGTGCACCAGGATCAGTGCTGCTTTCCAGGTGATCAGCACTTCTTCTGGGCTCAGCAGATGTGCTGGAATCAGTGCCGCTTTCCAGGTGATTGGCGGTTCTTCTGGGCTCAGCAGACGTGCTGGGATCAGTGCCACTTTCCAGCTGATTGGCGCTTCTTCTGGGCTCAGCAGACGAGCTAGGATTAGTGCCGAGCTCCAGCTGAAGCCTGGTGCTGATCCTGGCCCTTCCACTGAGCCCTGACAGCCTCAAAGAAGCGCCGATCAGTTGGAAAGCGGCACTGATCCTGGCACTTCTGCTGAGCCCTGACAGTCCCGAAGAAGCGTTGATCAGCTGGAAAGTGGTGCTGATCCTGGCACTTCTGCTGAGCCCTGACAGCCCTGCAGCTCCAGCCGTCTCTTGCTCAGGCTTGTGCGGTGCTGCACCAGTTCAACTCATTCCCCTCCCCACTACTACTTTTCTAGGATGGTCGCACCACCTGCCAGGTGCCAATGTACCACAGGTGGTATGCGTACCCCGGTTGAAAAGCCCTGTACTAGAGGATACAGTGTATCCAGGGTTGGCCCATCCATTCATCCATCCATCCATCCAGGCTATAGAGACAATAAGCTATGGTGTGAAGTAAAGTACAGAGTCTAATTTCAACAGGGGTGTGTGTGTCAAAATCTACCCTTAGGGTTTGAGAGTGGGGAACCAGCTGCATGGTTTGCCTAGGGCACCAGTTGCTGAGGGTGGCTGGACAGAAGCACATAAACTAGTGTTCCTCAAGGTAAATGAATATGGCATAGAAGTTAGGTTCATTAGGTCCAATATACTTTTCTCCTGTTCACCCTGCCTCTTCTTTAAGCCCTGGGTGCATGGTACGTATGTGGTTTTCATATTTTAATCCCATGCCAACATCGCCATGAGATAGATCAGGCTGAGCAAAAGGAAGTTGTTGAAAACTGTCAAATAAATTCCCTAACTGATTTTCAACATTCAAAGCACAATACCCTAGGAGACACTTTGCTCCTCACTTCAAAGCTGATTTAACAACAACTGAGCAGCACTTAATAAAACTAATGAAATACTCTCAAACATTCTTCGTATTTGGAATTGCTATCCAAGACTGAAAGAGGTCAAATACTAAGAAAGATATTAGTTTGAAAGAAATTTAGGGTGCTGTGCTCTACAACAATAGATTCTCAGTAATCTCCAAAATGCCATTAATCATCAGTTCTCTTGATATTCCTGGATTTTCTTTAATTGAGGCTATTTTCTGAATAGGAAAAAAATCTGCCCCGTTTCCTTTTCCAATTTTTTTAATAGACTGCTTATCATATTAGCAGACATCCATTATTTTGATTTGGTCTATCAGATAGGCATATCCATAGCAATGATCATTGGCTTCAGGTTGACAGGTGCAAGTGGGCAAGTGAAGCCCCATGCCTTTTTACATGCATGCAACGTGGGCAATGCTAAAATGTGGCAGGGTTTAGGTCACCTAGTGGTGCCCACCATTTTGGAGGCAGTGAAAGAAAAAACTTCATCAGATGGCATAAGAACTTTATTGTGAACAGGGAAAAATCAAGTAAGTCAGAATTACAACTTTGACACATTGCACGTTATTCTTGCAAGGACTTAAGGATTCCATTAAAATTGTGTCATTCTTTGGTTTGCTACAGAAAATACTAATGCAAAATGTTTCCTGATCTTTGAGACATAT